ACTTCCCGGAGGTAACCTTGTTGTTCGTTGAAAAGGTCACGATATGCGTTTTATTTTTATTTAGTTTTAAGTTATTGCTAATGAACCAGGTATCTGCTTCTTGTAATAAATTTTGGCTTTTGGGGATTGCTATTTTAACATCTTTGTCCGATACGAGTAACGAAGTGTCGTCAGCATAAGCAATACAGTGATTCGGGTGCATATAAGTAAAAAAGTCATTTGTGTACATAATAAACAATAATGGTCCTAAGATAGAGCCCTGAGGAACTCCATTCTTCGTATAGATTAATTCAGATTGAACACCATCCACAAAAACACACTGTTTTCTATTATTAAGATAAGATGAAAGTAATGTTCCAGCTAGCCCTCTAATACCATATAGATGTAGCTTATCCATTAGAATCTTAAATGAAACGCAATCAAACGCTTTCGATAAGTCACATAAAATTAGTGAAGCCTGTTCTCCTTTCTCAAAAAATTGAATAATTGTAGCTATCATCTTAGAAACAGCTTGTATGGTGGAGTGATTTTTTCGGAAGCCGTATTGACCACGATCAAACATGTTATTACATTCAAAATAATTATAAAGTCTCCTGTTTAGTATTATTTCAAAAATTTTAGAGAACATTGGTACAATAGTGATTGGTCTATAGTTGTTCATATCATTACAATCGCCTTTCTTAAATAATGGTAATACAACAGAAACTTTAAAGACGTCAGGGAAATTGCCTTCTGAAATACAGGAATTGAACACGTTTACTAAATAGTCAACATATATTTGTATAGTTTCCTTGATTAGCTTGCTATTGATGCCATAATAATCAGTACAGCGTGAGTTACTTAGTTTACTAACTGCCTGAAGGACCTCACATTTGGATACAGGGTTTAAGAAAAAGGAGCCATTTGAAGGTATCTTCATCATGTGTTGCATATTTAGGTTAGTTTTATCTAAATTATGTATTATTTGCTCGGCCGTATTTACAAAGAATTCGTTGAAGCTTTCAGCAGCGAATGTGGGCTGGCGTTTATGTGAGTTGCGTTTATTGCGTTCGAAATTGACCAATTTCCAAGTATCTCTCACCTTGTTATCCGACTTATGCAGGAATTGGTCATAAGCCGTATTTTTTGCTGAGATAATTGCCCTGCGGTACTCCCTCTTGTAAACCCTATAAGCGTTATTACTGCCCTCGTTAAGCATAAAAGTCGTATGTGACAAAATGAGAGTTTCGAGATATTTAATATTTAGTGAAAGTTGCGATGCCATGGAGACTAAAGCACTTAGATGTAAACTTTTTAATTAAAATTGTCTACATATATCTCCAAATGTTAGTTATCTATGGGTAATGTGTGAAGTTACTACCAAAAGTGACTTTTGCTAGATACGACTTTTATAAGTAGAATTTGGATGATAAAGGTTTAAAAGAACAACACCAAATGTCGTATCTACATACTCTTTAATTATAACATTGCATACCTACACAGATAACATACATGTAAGTGTGCCTACTGCCTAGTTAATCGAAAAATTTAATTTTCGTCACTGTCATGACTTTGTTCGTCCGTGGCAGTTGGAAGATTTTCCCAAAAGTTCCGACGGCTTTCAGGCATGATAGGCACTAATTTTGAAACAATAAGGCATTTTCGATCTTTTGTTATTCCTTTTGGGTTACATTTAGGTTTTGGCTTTGAAATTTCCACTTTCATGCATCGTGCATTAATGAAATTTATTTCTATTCCAGGAGATTCAAATTCCGTTTTGTATATGAGAGTTTTTTTGCCCCTTTCAAAATTTACCTGCACCATGTTCGATACGACGTTTTCGCCTACTATCAGAAACCACGCCTTACTAGTAAGTAAGCTGTCAGAACTCTCTCATTTGATAATAAAATGTCGTATCTGCAACACTTCGTGTAGATACGACATTTTTAAATAAAATTAGTATATACGACATTTTAGCCTAACAAAGCTAGCATTTTTGTAGTTACGACAAATATTATACCTCGCATAACTTACGAACTATTGGCAGAAACGACTTTTGGGCGTAATAAAATAATAGCAAATGATGCCGTCTATATTACTATACCTACAGCTCAAAAACGAAAAAAAGTAGATACGACTTTTATGCTTAACAGGGCAGTCTGCCCACCTTAGGCTTATATTTACGGTATAAATCAATTAACATCCTTGTATGGTTCTCGGTCGACCGTATTTCTTCTACAACAGCGGTGGCTGATGGTGTTACTTCGGGAATAATAATGTACTCTTCAAGATAGACGTTCCTTATATTTTTTTACGTTATATACTTTGAACACACTTTCCATTTTATCAAATCAACAATAAAACGAACAGAATCAAACACGCAGGTTATGCCACAAACTTGCTGTTTTAATTGTGGTTATGTTGACCACACGTGAATTGTAATTCTGTGTACCAACAGAAATGTTCAGAACTAGGCGTACCTCAAATCTGCGCAGTGAATACATACTGCTGAACTCAATTCTGAATTGCTTGTTGGAACGAACCGATTAAATTCAACTTGCTTTTTTGAACAGAATTGCTATCGCACTTCATGCTAGCAATAATTTTTGTTAAATTGGAACTACCAATAGTTCATTTAGACTACGATCTTGTATGTTTGTCGTATACTGGGTATGGACCAAGCGTGTTTGAAACGAGTGGGCCCTTAATCATTCACAGGGACGCAAATAACATTTCGATAGCTATATGTTTTAGTTTTGTCCGTACAGTCAGCCTACAAATCTGTAGTGCCAAATTTGATTTTAAATCCATTTGCGCAGTTTATACCGGAGTACAATTAATTGTCACCTATAAATAAAATGTACAAACTGTTTAGTGTGCACCGGTTTTGTTTATTTTATCAGCCGAGTAGCCACGATCCACTGCCTCCATAAAATATAGAGCTGCCACTTAGGCAAGTTCGTGCCGTTGTCGCCTGGGGGGCTTCACGTCATGAATTATTTATAGACGCCACTTGTGATGAGAAAACCACAGAAAAGGAAGAAAATAGCAATCCTACTAAGCGCAAATGGAGACGAAGGACTAGACGTGTACAACAATTTCGAATACAGCGAAGAAGAAAGTAAGGACGAGGTGAAAACCTTAATAAAGAAAGTCGAAGAATACTGCACGTCCAAGAAAAGTGTCGATTTTCCATAGATACGTATTCAACAACATTAGTCAGCAAGTAGGACAAGGGTTCGAAAACTTCCTCATGGAGCTTTAAGAAAGCAGTCAAACTATGTGAATCGACAGAGAAGGAGCCTGCCACGATTAGCGCTGTTCACTCAAAAGGAAAAAGCGAACAAACCCAAAGAAAAAACTGCTGAACAAGCAATGTGTAAGTTGTAAGAGGTAAAATTGTAGATGTAAAAAACATTGAAATTGAAATGAAATAAGATTTGTTGATTTCTGGTAGTACCATAATTCCATTCAAATTGTTTGAATCAACGGCCATATTTGTTCCAGGTATTTTGCATGAACTCACCAATGTGGGTTTTAGCGAATACTAAAGAAATATTCGTAGACCACTAAATGTTAAAAGTAGAAAAGTTTTTTTTTATTATACCTGAATCACAATCTCCGTTTTAAACACTCAAATGCGTGCGAAAAAGGGCCTTTAAAACACACGTGCTTTAAAGTTGCTAAGTAACGAAACTTCAAGTATGACTTTTGAAACTGTCATCTGGATGAAATAAAAAATCCTCTTAGGTCGCTTTCTGTAAATGCAGATCATTTCTTTGGCTTTTGTACCTATCCTTTGGTTGAAGCTTTCACAAACGCGCGTAATTTAGGGTATGCTTCCAAATCTGTTCTACTTTTTAATCGCAGCACTGTTTTAAAGTTTTGAATGAATGCACCAAAATATAGAAGATTTAAATACCTTTGACATTTCCTTCATATATGCCAGCATTATGGATGCATTTAAGACTTTATTCGTAACTTCCTATTCCATCCATGGAAACAACTTTTCATATTCTTTATAATAGGCTTTACTGGATTTGGATTTTACACCTACCAACGTTCGTTTAGATTTTACGACAATCGATTTAATGGACGGTGTATTATCTTTTTCAACGGAAATCGTTTAATTCACAAAGACGATGATTTTTATAAGCAAACGTCAAGTGACATTTCCATGGCAATCGTGAAATTAGGAACACCCAGCCCACTTAATTAGACATGTATTCGAGTATAACGTCAATATGACTTCATTGTATTTCCTATTTTTAGATTATACTGCAGGTATAATAAAAAATACTATAAGATACACGTGTATAATAATTGGTCTTTAAAGCACTTGCAACGTTAAAGGCACTCCGCTTTGCGTCGTGCCCTTAAACTCGTTGCGCGTGCTTTAAAGACTTGATTATACACTTGTATCTTAATATACTATATTTCCAAACGTTACAAAATTACTGTTGTTTATTATTCTCTCCTCTCCTTGGTTACGTCATCACTCTGGTTACTTCGTTAGCGCCACAGGTTCAGGCCCTGGCGACATTCCAGCCATGTTATGTGATGACATATGACGCCGACCTTTCAGTCATCATGGCCCCAGCATTAGTTGGGAATGAATTGGCTGCCAATAATCGTATGGCGCTACGCCTGGTCAAAGGAAAGCAACTCCAAACAGCCGGGCTGTCCTTTGGCCTATACTCCATGGCGTCCTCCCTGTCGATGGATACCATAGACTTCGAAGCCCCTCCAGGGCTCGCTATTCCCCCTCCTATACCCGGGCTACCGCCCGTCATCACTGACGCGGCAGAAGCTTCGATCCCTCTCTAAGCGTATTGCTCGCTGGCCCCGCTTGGGCAATACGCTTTAGCTTGAGGAGTGCGAGGGGTCTAGCCTATCTAGGGGCGGTGCACACCCCGCGCACTCTAACGCCGGCCCAGGTCTATTTACTACACAACCGATTGGTTGCACTCATGCAAAGCCACTTCGCGTCGGGCCGCTTGAGCATCCATGGGCCCGGGCCATCGTCAGCCGGCCTGGAGTGAGTGATTACCGTCAACCTCGTCGATCACCATCCGCGGCTGCTAGCCAAAACACAACCATCTCCCTACCACAATATTAGGCTCCACGCGCTGCCCATGTGTATGTAGTGGATTCCAGCCTATCAGTGGCGGGAAGCACGGGCCAAGTGGCCTTGGATCCTACTGCCACCAAGCTGCTGGAAACCACACACAACGCAATCCAAGCGGCTGAACGTTTAGGCTGGTTAGGTGATGGATCATCAGAATTCATGTTGGCCAGTGTGTTTCCCCAGTACGCATTGGTGACCCCGACGTGATTCGCATTATGTTTGTGTAGTTCATATATTTTTTATATTTGTGCGTGTCACGGTGACTTTTACCTGTCGTATTTGGTGAAAGATTTTCCTTACGGATATATTGCACGAACCATGGGAGTTTCTACAGACACAATTGGAACAACTCCAGCACCACAATGAAGCACTGCAGCAACAACTTCGGCAAATGCAGGAACAGCAACATCATCAGAATGAACAACCGGCATTGCCATTGGAAGTTAACCGGGTGAGTGTAAAATTACCTCCTTTTTGGAAGGATAAACCGAACCTCTGGTTTGCCCAAGTTGAAGCACAATTTACGCTTACACGTGTCTTTCAGGAGTCTACTAAATACTCCTATGTGATATCGCATTTGGATGAGCGGTACGCAAATGAAGTCGAGGATTTGATCACCACTCCTCCTGCTGATAATCCATACACCACCCTCAAGACTGAAATAATACGTCGTCTGTCCGTCTCAGAAGAGCGTCGTGTACGACAACTCCTTGTCGAAGAAGAACTCGGTGACCGTACTCCTTCTCAATTTCTCCGTCATTTGCGATCTCTACTCGGCAGTACCACTGTTCAAGACAGCCTTCTCCTCACCATTTGGATGCAACGTCTTCCTGCGCACGTTCAAGCCATATTACAACCTCAAATCAGTCAAATTGGTCTTACTACCGACACGCTCGCCGTTACAGCGGACAAGATCATAGAGGTTCAGCCTGGTACGACCTTTAACACTGCTTCTAATTCCGCCGTAGTGCACGCTGCCTCCATTACACCTGGTACAGATCTAATTTCTCAGCGTTTGGACGAACTTTTCCGACAGATCTCAGTTATGCCAATTGGTTACAACAAATTAAACAAGAACCACCATCGATCTCGGAGTAACACCCCTTCAACTACCGTCAAAATCGACATCGTTCTCCGTCAGCCACAAATTCATCAACAATTATTTGCTGGTACCATCGACGATTCGGCGACCAAGCCAACAAGTGCACGAAACCCTGTTATTTCAATTCAACAAACTCCACCGGCAGTCAGTAATGGCGGCAGCCGGCTGTCCAACTGGAGGAAGCCGCCTTCTAGTTGTTGATCGTAAGTTAGGAATTAAATTTCTGCTTGACACTGGATCAGATATATGTTGTTTTCCGCGAAAATTACTACCGGATCGTCGTTACCGCCACAAACTCAATTATATATATATATAGATATATATATATATATATATATATATATATATATATATAACAATTATTAAATTAGTAAAAGTAATAAAAAAGTCTTGTCAGTCAATCATATTTTGAATAATAAAATTTGTATCATTCTTAAGAAAATCAGAAGCCTAAATCTTCCTGAAAGCTATTTTCAACAAATCCTATGACCCCGTAGGGTCACACGTAGGTGCTCTGCCGCTTTTTTAGATGCTCCTTAGGGGTTTATTTATAATACCCCCCTCTGACCCATACGTAGCTGAACTAAACATTTAAAAACAAAGACCTCAATAAACACAAATAGAAAAGCAAAACTGACGAGAATAGTTGAAATTGGATCGTACGAAAAAAAAATTGAACAGATATAGACAAGTAAAAATGCAATATAGTGGAGGTACGAGAAAAGTTCCAGTGAACAAAGGCAGTAAATGTAGCGAGATATTCGATATGGAGTTACTGGACTATAAACGTCATAAATTCGATACGAATGTAACAATACAATGTATGTATGATTTGTCTCAGTTGAAGATTTTATGCTACAACACGGAGAAGTGGATATGCCAGTGACGATGATGACAATCAATATATATCAGCCACAGTCATTGGCCTCACCGACACCATCGATTAATGGTGTCACCATATTTATAAAGGAAGAAAGTCAATGTCATGGAATAATCAGTGAAGGCCGTGAAGGGGTTATTGAAATGCTATCCACGTAAGACACCGTAAACAACCATAAATTTTAACAGAGGATATAAAACCGCGCCCGTGAAGCCAGCCCCTACACGATAGCCCCTACAAGCCCGTACACAACTACCATTTAGTACTAATTATGTACTTTATAAATATGTAGTTCATATTTCTGTACCTATTGTTGTTAGAAAAATATCGTGTAGGGGCCAGCGGAGCCGTCTTTCCAGCCCCTACATAGGAAAGAGACCGCCCATACTTAAAGTATTGGATGTACCTTTACCTACCAAGAGGGTAGGTTCCATAAATGCATTTTGTAAGTTGCTACCCCTTACCATTTCCTGGAGGGGCTGGAAGTGCCGATTTTCCAGCCCCTACATAGAAAAGAGACTGCCCATACTTAAAGTATTGGTTGTACCTTTACCTACCAAGAGGGTAGGTTCCATAAATGCATTTTGTAAGTTGCTACCCCTTACCATTTCCTGGAGGGGCTGGAAGTGCCGATTTTCCAGCCCCTACATAGAAAAGAGACTGCCCATACTTAAAGTATTGGTTGTACCTTTACCTACCAAGAGGGTAGGTTCCATAAATGCATTTTGTAAGTTGCTACCCCTTACCATTTCCTGGAGGGGCTGGAAGTGCCGATTTTCCAGCCCCTACATAGAAAAGAGACTGCCCATACTTAAAGTATTGGTTGTACCTTTTCCTACCAAGAGGGTAGGTTCCATAAATGCATTTTGTAAGTTGCTACCCCTTACCATTTCCTGGAGGGGCTGGAAGTGCCGATTTTCCAGCCCCTACATAGAAAAGAGACTGCCCATACTTAAAGTATTGGTTGTACCTTTACCTACCAAGAGGGTAGGTTCCATAAATGCATTTTGTAAGTTGCTACCCCTTACCATTTCCTGGAGGGGCTGGAAGTGCCGATTTTCCAGCCCCTACATAGGAAAGAGACTGCCCCTACTTAAAGTATTGGTTGTACCTTTACCTACCAAGAAGGTAGGTTTCATAAATATATTTTTCGTTGATACCCCTCACTATGTTCTAGAGGGGCCCGAAGGGCCCACAAAAAGTGCGCTATTTTATAGGTACCTGGATAGCGCGTTATGACATTTCTTCGTATGTCCAGGCAGCCAAAGCCATCCGAGAGAACAGCCTATTGTTGTCTTAGAGATTAGTAATATCAAACGTAAAACGCATAGGCGTAGGTAAGATAGGAAAAAAATAGAACGACCTGGAATGTAATATATGCTTAGCTGAACAGTGCGCAAACCATTACACAGAAATAACAACTAATAAACTTTAAATCCAGGATTATGGTCTAAAATAACAAACAATACGATACGCAAGCACATGAATATACCCACCAGTCACGAGCACGACACAGCAAGAAATTTTTGCAGTACTTCATGCGCAGGTTTTTTACTTTTCATTTTAATTTAACATCAATATGTATTAGCTACCAATACGTTTGTCTTCTTGTTAGCGAATTACCCCTAAATGTAGCTACATCATAGGTTCACGAGTGTTTTTCCCGTGGCGCAGTGGTTGCGCTTTCGGCTGCTATTCGGGAGGTCGTGGGTCCGATTCCCACTGCCGACTGCTCTGTCTTACAAAAGATGATAAGGAGCTAGGGTGACCAGACGTCTTCTTTTACCGGCACAAGTCCTCTTTTTGATTCTAAAACTGTTGTCCTCTATATATTTTGCGAAAACCGTTTAATCGTCCTCTATTGAAATAAATTTGCAAAGTATCCCCTTCTTCGCGCTGAACAGCGATACAAACCGGTGACGGTGACAAACATAGGTGACAAACTGGTTTTGCGCGCGCATGTTTGCGTTGTGCTTGCGACTTACTCACTTTACTTTTACTGTTTACAGGATTGAATAGAAGTATTCTTATTCATCAAATTTCATTGCTTACTCTTACAGTCTATTGTTCAGTCAGCTCTGCTATGCTATTCTCATTGAGTGTACGTGGTCGGGTCGTTAACATTAAGTATTTTTAATTTATATTTTTATAAAAGTAACGTCACAGTAAGCTGGGTTCTGCCGTTCTGGGTCAGCATAAATCATTATTATTAATATTCCCGACCTTTCATTGATCTCAGTTATCGTACCTATTATGTTTCTCTCTGTTTCCGGTCACTTGTAAGGTAGGTATAGGTGATCATTCATCTCTGTTAGTGGCGGTGAAATATAAGTAGGATCCTGCGATAAAAAAAGTTATCAACGATCTCAAATAAGCACAATTGACAAATTTAAATTTAAGGCTCAGCAGGGTTACCAAGTTGGGAGATATATCGCAAAATGGGCGATTTCAAATTCAAAATTGCTCCTGAATGTTATAAATTTGCGATAATCGCAATTTGGGCGATTATTTGAATGCAAATCAATAATTTTCGCGATTATATAATTGTAAAGTTTAATGATGAATGAATAGATACTGAATAATTTTCTTTTTCTAAGAAACTGAGAGAGTCATCTACGTTTACCGCCAAAGAGTCCAAAAGTAAGATTGACATTGACAAGCAGTAAACAATCCCGCACCCAATCAAAGATAATCCCTCCTAGGTAAAATTTCTTGGTACACCTTCTTAAAATAACTGCGGCCTCGGCCTACCATAAATTAAGTACCTATAGGTAGGTACGACAGAAACCAGAAATAATGAATATTATTGTTCAAAACAACAGATCGGCGTTTTTCAGTGGAATTTACTTCCATCGACGAAGTTGGTGCCATATTTGATATTTCACAACTTAAACGTGTTTCTTCAGCGTACGCGTTTCTTCAAAGAACCAGAACATACAGTTGGCTCTAAAATCTCTTTCTTAACTATAAAACTGGAGAATAAATTTGGACACGCGTTTTCAACAACGGACTTTAAGAACAGTGTATAATAATGAATTCTGAGCGTGCTCGTGGCTGTGCTGTAAGTAATGATAGAGACAATAGAATTGAAGTTCTGAAAAACTGTGCAAGGGAGTTAATACAAAATGGACAACTCGTATCTTCTAACGCAGATGTTTTCAAACGTTTGAGTGTGTGCTTTAATATTTCTCCAAAGGCTGTCTATTTATACCTTAAAAATCACGTGAGTGAAGTATTTGGCGATTCTTTTCAAATAATAAAACAGAAACGATTATGCGAAGATAATGACGAAAGAGATGGGTTGATTTTAGAGGATGACGAAGAAATTAACGAAGGCGAAAATTTAGCAGAATACGTCTCTGGAAATGCCTTATATTTTGAAATTAAGATAAATTATTTATTTAGATCAGAACTGCGACCAATGAAGCACCGAAGAAAAATACGATTGGTAAAATCATTAGCAATCGGTTGGTCTGATGATTTGTTTGAGGTGTTATGGAACGAATTACGTCTTGATGGCAAGCAGCTGCCTTGTAATTGGTCATTTAAAAGGGGATGGATTACTGACGACGACGCTATTTTTTTTAAAGGGGGTTGTACTGACTGTTTGTCGAGTATTGTTGGTGAAACAAGAGACAATCAGAACTTAATAGTAAAAGTGACGAACTTCAAAGAAAATGTTACGCATGACAGTTATCGAATACTAAAAGGTATTAGACGAAAAGAAGTTGCAGATAAGTTAAAGCATCGTTCTTCCTTTTCTTTAAGAGCTGAAATGGCAAATCAGTTGATTAAAAACACGAATGACCCACGACCACCCCATTTACCTAATTTGCAGACTCTTCGTAAACTTAAAAGTGCCGCTTCTACAAGCGAAGGTGATGTTATTGCTACCTTAATAGAATGGAAAAACAAGGAATATCGTCAAATAATTTTTGACATTGGGATATCACCATTTTATATTTTCTACTCCATTCCCCTACAAAGAGAATGGTATGCATCCGAATCCAAAAAGAGAGGTATTACCATTTCAATAGATGCAACAGGTTCCTTGGTAGTACCGCCAAAAAATTCAGAAGTTTCTGAGACCACAGGAAAGCTGCGACATATATTTCTATATAGTATCATGGCCAAAACGAATGGAAAAAGTGTACCGATCCAACAAATGATTTCTCAACAGCATAACCATGAATTTATAGCCTTTTGGCTACAAAAATGTTTTAGGAACCTTAAACCGCCCTGTGAAGTAGTTTGCGACCAATCTGATGCTTTATTGTTAGCAATGGTCAAGTCGTTTACGACCTGCAAGTCTATGAAAGAGTATGTAAAAAAGTGTATTTCGGCCTTGCAATATGGATCACATCCACCAGAACTG